GATCAAACCATCCTCCTGCCTCAGCCTTCTGAGTAGCTAGGACTATAAGCATGTGCCACCATACCAGCTAATTTTTAAAAATTGTTTGTAGAGATGGGGATCTTGCTTTGTTGTCCAAGTTGGTCTTGAACTCCTGGGCTTAAGCAGTCCTCCCACGTCAGCATCCCAAAGTGCTGGGGTTATGGGCGTGAGCCACGATGCCCGGCCTAATCATTGCTTTGTAAAGGCTCCTTTACTGCTTCATGGAGAACAGAGATTACTAACGTGGTGTGATGGGGGAAAATGGGCACAGAATGATCTGTAACCAAGAATATACTAAATCCTTTGTGAGACCATTTATTTCAGTATTAGACCAGAAAAGTTTCATAAAGGAACTGATCCTTGAAGCCAAGACCTGCTTAGCTGAGTTGGAGTTTGCCCAAAGAAAATTAAAAATTGAAGGGAGAGAAGGGGACAGATTCCAAGCAGAGAGAAAAAAACATGTAAAAGATCTCTGACAGATGATGGTCAAAACACAGAGATCCCAAATCCCACAGGGGAAACAGGAGGAGTTATATCTGAGTCAAATTTGAGATGAAAGCTCTAAGCAAAACACTAAATTAACATTGAGATTCCTGGCAGCTAAAGCAAAAACTTTTCTGGCTGGGCGTGGTGGTTCACGCCTGTAATCCCAGCACTTTGGGAGGCCGAGGCGGGCAGATCACTTGAGGTCAGGGGTTTACGACCAGCCTGGCCAACATGGTGAAACCCCGTCTTTACTAATAATACAAAAATTAGTGCATGCCTGTAATCCCAGCTACTCAGGAGGCTGAGGCAGGACAGTCGCTTGAACCTGGGAGGCAGAAGTTGCAGTGAGCTGAGATGGCGCCACTGCACTCCAGCCCCTGGGTGACAGAGCGAGACTCCATCTCAAAAAAAGAAACCAAAAAAACCGTCTTCTGCCTTAGTGTATCAGGCTGTAATGAGGCCACCTATTCTCCAGGCCTTGGAAAAGAATCCAGGGTATTTTTTGCCCACGTGCCAAGGATTTGTCTCTAATCTTACCAGGCTACCAGTCTCTCTAGAAATGGTCTCCCAGAGCCAAGGCAAAAACAGCCCCACTCACCAGTCCCCCCAAGGCACCCAAATAGTCCCCTTACCATGTTGGTACCACTGTCTCAGGTTTGGGCTGAATCATAGCCTCAATGCAGAATTTCTTCTGGCCATTTCCAAAAATCAGATAGACCCTTAAAAAACAAAGATTTGACTTTCCCTTTGTGAAGAAACACTTCCCTCCCTCGGCTATCTCCAGTTCCTCGGCTCATGGTCTAGCACTGCTGTGAGCATCACCTAGAAGGCCACTGAGCTGTGCCAAGAAGAGTGGTGGGGATTTACAAACTAGTCCCCGCCCATTATAGTAGGTGCCCTCCTGTCCTGTAGGGTCGGACCGATACCTGGAGAGCCGGGATGCCTCTCGACTGAGTGGCCAGGACCCCTCCTCATGGACAGTCGAGGACGTGATGCAGTTTGTCCAGGAAGCTGATCCTCAGCTTGGACCCCACGCTGACCTCTTTCGCAAACACGTAGGTGCTCCTGCCTGACCTCTCAGTAGGAACGTGTGTGGAGAGCCTCACCTGGTGGGGACAGTAGGAGATGTCTGGGGAGGAGGGATGCTTAGAGACAAAGGTTGAGGAGAACAGGTAGGCTTCAGCGTCACAGCAGGTGAACTGGACTCCCATGTGGCAGGCACTTCCCAGGATGGCCTGTAATCAGAACCTGGGGTGGTCAGACCAACCAGGACTCTGATGGCGCCTTCCCTCCACTTCTGCCCACCTCCCCACCCCCCAGGAGATCGATGGCAAGGCCCTGCTGCTGCTGCGCAGTGACATGATGATGAAGTACATGGGCCTGAAGCTGGGGCCTGCGCTCAAGCTCTCCTACCACATTGACCGGCTGAAGCAGGGCAAGTTCTGAACTGGGAGAGGCAGCCTAGACAACCAAGTGGTCAGCAGGTGGGGGCATTCTTCTAGTAATGAGGGGCATCAGCCCACCCCAGGCACCTCAGTGGGGTTCCGGGCCACCTCAGGACTCCAAGAGGCTATGTGGAGGTACCAGTCCTAGCCACAGCTGCCATGATATGTCCTTCCATGAAGGACTGAGGAGGGAGAGTGGGGATCCAGGGCTGGTGCTGCTCTTCCCTCAGCTCTGCTGGGGATCTAAGGTCCCTCTATTTATTTCTTACGCTTGGTTGGCCTCTCAACCAGGAGTTTAGGCTGAATGCCTTCCAAGTGATGGAGGAAAAGGCCAACTTTGTCCTGGTCTTGCTGTGGCACCCCATCACCCCACAGCTCCTACCTTCTCATCAGATTCCCCTGAATCCAAACTCATGGTGCAAACCTCTACCTTTTTACAAAAAGATCTCATTGTTAATTTATTGTTTCTGGCACTTGGGCAAACCCTGTAGTTAATACTCCTTCCACACTAGACACTGGGTTTCAGGAGGAGGGAGACTGCCCTGCCTTGATCCCAGAGAGGCCTTCTCCAGATAGGCGTGGCCCCTCTTCAGAGGACCCTGAAGTGGAGAGACCCATAAAGCCTTGACCACATCACTCCATATGGGGAGAAGGATCCCTGCCATCTTCTCCTCTCTTCATGGGGCCCTTCTGCAGCCCTAGGCCTCATCTGTGGGAAGGGAGTCCCTGGCCCATACTGCCCCCACCACAGCTCCTTGCCCTGGCCAGAACTGCTGTTGAAGAAGATCAGGCCGTATGATCTTAGGCCAAGAAGGCCCTAAGGGGGATGGGAGGGCAGGTTTTCCAGGCTGGAGTCGGTTCTACCCACTCTGCTGTCCATATGCTTCCTTGTAAGCAAGTCAGCAGCACAGCTGCCATCTGGACTTATTTTATGTCAATCTGTTTATAAATAAAAACCAATATAGATACCAGTGTCTTTTTAATCAGTTAACAGCCAAATCACTATGCATTCATTAGACCAGTCATTCCCCTTCTCTTGGTCTTAGTTTTCTCATATATAAAACAAGGCTGGGTGCACTGGCTCATGCCAGTAATCTCAGCACTTTGGGAGGCCAAGGTGGGAGGGTCTCTTGAACTCAGGAGTTTGAGACCAGCCTGGGCAACATGGTGAAACCCCAGCTCTACAAAAACACAAAAATTAGCCTGCCGTGGTGGCGCATACCTGTAGTCCCAGCTGCTTGGGGAGCCGAGGTGAGGGGATGACTTGAGCCTAGGAGATCGAGGCTGCAGTGAGCCGTATTCACACCACTGTACTCCAGCCTAGGTGACAATTTGAGACCCCATCTCAAATAAATAAAGTGGTAGAGCTTGGACAAAATGATTCCTAAGTGTCCTTCTAATTCCAGCAGTCCCTAAAGAACAGGTGGTCTTCCAAATGCCTACCAGAGCCCCAGCATCACATAGGCCCCTTGGAAGGTTAGTATGTGAATCCAGTCTCCACCCTCAAAGGGCTTTGCTGTGTGCAGCTAGACAGTAGTAAGCACAGCAGCTATGTAAAGCCACAGCAGGAAGGAGCAATCTTAGGTCAGCAACTCCTACAAGTCTCAGTGGCTGGGCATGTCCTCACTCATATAGGGTGGGGAAAGATGTAGGCCAGTCCAGCCAGGTCAGGCCTGCACTGTACCACTTGTGCTGACCAGGGGCCAGGCACACAACTCCAGGGCCACACGTTGTGTTTATAATTGGAGTACAGGGTTTGCAGGAGGAAGAGAAGGCATAGGGGGGCAGCAGGTCAGTGCAGTATAACCTGATAGTAACAATAACCAACACTTTTATATCACTGTGTGCCACACGAGCTGCTTACATTAATTAGAACTCTTCGCAACAAACCCATTTTATGGATAAGGAAACTTAAGTTCAGGTCACACAGGCAGGAAGCGCCAAAGCAGGCATTTGACTGTAAGGCTGAGGTTCTAGCCAGCCCACCTGTGTGCCAGGAAGCTTTGGGTGGGTCATTTCCTTTCTCTGGGCCCATCTGGCTATGAGATATTTGCATGAGGAGACTTGTGAAGGCCCTTCCAGCTTTCACCAGTGACAAGTTCCAATATCATAACTAACTTACAGTATCTTTTCTACTTGGCCACTGTGAGGTTCTAACCATGGTCACTGTAAAACAGTCAGGGTCAAGGCAGCCGAACAAGTTGAGGCCCTCATTTTCTACCAACTCCTTGACACTGGGATTTTCTTTTCTTTTTTTTTTTGTCTGAGATGGAGTCTCGCTCTGTCCCCCAGGCTGGAGTGCAGTGGCGCGATCTCGGCTCACTGCAAGCTCTGCCTCCCGGGTTCATGCCATTCTCCTGCCTCAGCCTCCCGAGTAGCTGGGACTACAGGCACCCGCCACCATGCCCGGCTAATTTTTTGTGTTTTTAGTAGAGACGGGGGTTTCACTGTGTTAGCCAGGATGGTCTTAATCGCCTGACCTCGTGATCCGCCCGCCTCGGCCTTCCAAAGTGCTGGGATTACAGTCATGAGCCACCGCGTCCAGCCTTTTTTTTTTTTTTTTTTTTTTTTTTGGAGACATAGTCTCGCTCCATCACCCAGGCTGGAGTGCAGTGGCCGGATCTCAGCTCACTGCAAGCTCCGACTCCCAGGTTCGCGCCATTCTCCTGCCTCAGCCTCCCAAGTAGCTGGGACTACAGGCGCCCACCACCTCACCCGGCTAGTTTTTTGTATTTTTTAGTAGAGACGGGGTTTCACCGTGTTATCCAGGATGGTCTCAATCTCCTGATCTGGTGTTCCGCCCGTCTCGGCCTCCCAAAGTGCTGGGATTACAGGCTTGAGCCACCACGCCCGGCCTTTTTTTTTAAGACAGTGTCACTGTGTCGCCAAGGCTGGAGTGCAATGGCACGATCTTGGCTCCCTGCAACCTCCGCCTCCCGAGTTCAAGCGATTCTCCTGCCTCAGCCTCCCAAGTAGCTGGGACTACAGGCGCCCACCACCACACCCGGCTAATTTTTTGTATTTTTAGTAGAGTTTCACCATGTTGGCCAGGCTGGTCTCGAACTCCTGACCTCAAGTGATCTGCCTGCCTTGGCTTCGCAAAGTGCTGGGATTACAGGCCTGAGCCACCACACCCGGCCAACACTGGGATCTTGTAGACCGTGCTGTTCATTCAGGGTATTCCCAATGAGCACCTTGCTGAACCCTAACAACAAACTTCTAGATGTGAGCCTCAAGACACAGGGACTGAAGGTGACACTGGCATATGTAGGCAGGCCAGACATGCTGCAAAGCTGGGCACCCACCCCACCTTACCCTCTTTTCGTCAAGAGTCTATAACTTCCTACTGAGCACTGTTTTGAGAACTCACTGTGCTGAGTTGTTTTTGTACAGTATCCCATTGAAAACTCAGAACAGTCCTATAGTGTAACTACTGTTTCCCCATCTCACAGGTGCTTTCAGAGGTTAATTCCATAGCTGTTAAGGGGTACAACACGTCCTACTGCCTGCAACTGCCTCCCATGGGCCTTTGTCTCAGATCCAGCTACCATTCAGACTCAAGATCCCTGCAGGCTACGCTGGGCGTGGCATTTACTTTGATGGCTGTCAGACAGGAAATGGCCTGGCTGCAGGGCAGCAGGAAGCAGCCCTCTTCAGGGGAGGAGGGCAGTCCTCTCAGAGCCTCCAGTCATCTATCGGTCATGGGAGTTATTCTCCTTGGTTGCCCAGGTGACAGCTCAGGTACAAAGGAATGAGACACATGAGGGAGAAGGGGGTTGGTTCACTGTGGCTTAGCGGCATCATTCCCCAAAGGAGCTCATATCTCTTTGAACAACTCAAGAGGCACAGCTTTCAGGGACCCCATAAGCCACATACCCAACTGAGTCATTACACATAGGAAGCCCAACATTATGGCTTTTTAACAAGTGTTTATAGTTCACACAGAAAACTCCAAATGCAGATAATTTACAATTAGGAATCATGTTTACCATAAGTAGTGCTGCACTGAAACAGCTGACATACTTTTATCTGGTTTCCAGACAAAACTAGAAAGGTAACCAGATGTCAGGTTCTGCAGGCAGGGAGAGGATTATTCACACTGCCATAACCTCTGGGGTCAAAACTAAATGTTGTTTAAGAAGGAAGAAAAAAAAAACAAAAACCCTCAACTTTGGAAATTGTTTCAAAAGCCAGGCCTTCTAATAGTGACCCAGAATCATTAGCAGCACTCACACTGGCCTCAGACCCAGCGCACACATGCTGCAGTGTTGGAGAGACCGCTCCATGAACCCCAGCAGTCCAGTAGCCCACCAAGTGGAAAGGCACAGGTGACAGAGGTCTCGTGGCACCAGCTTCATGTGCTCACCCTCAATGCTCGGACAGGGAGATGATACTGACTTTGCTGAGCTCAGGAGGGAAACACCAAACACTTGGGGAGGTAACAGAGATCTAGGCCCCACCTAAGGCCGAATCCACGGGAGGGCAGGGCATTTTTCTGGAACACTCTGCCCTCCCCAGCCATGGCTCCTCCCTGCCTCCTGGCGGTGGACCGCATTGTCCAGACACTCTTTGTGAGGGTCTTGTGGGACTCCCTAAGATCGATCCCTGAGGTGTAGCACTGGTGGGCCAAATGGACACACTGTTCCTGCCCTCACACTGGTGCTATACTCCCTCGTTGGTGTATTCACCTGAAGGTGAATCCCTCCTTCTTTACCACCAAAACGAAAAGTGTGGGAAACCTTGAGAGAAGGGTCCCAACACTTCTTCCCTCAGGAGCCCTCAGCTTTTTGCAGCCTCTTTACCTAAGTACCCTGAGTCACTGGACATGGTCTTGCCACCACAGTCCGTCAGGGCAGCGCCACAGCTTCCAGCCTCCAGCCCAGGGGCAGTCACAGCCGAGCATCAGAAGTGTGGCTCTGTGCAGTGCCAAAGCAACTGCAGGTGCCCACAGTGGCTGGCAGCCCACAGTACCCAGGCCACAGACACTAGGATGGAGCCACTCAAGTCAGAGATACTCTGCAGTAGCTGGAGCTGGACCCTGTCAGAAGCCAGGTGGAGATCCTCAGGCTGAAGGCAGCACACCAGGGGAGGGCTTGAGACCAAGGGAGGCTGGAGTGATGTGGGTCCCAGGACCTGGAAAGCTGTGTCTGTAACTCCCCTCCCCAGAGTTCACTCTTCTTGATCATCCTTGTTCTCTCCTGCACCTGCCTGGGCTTATTCCTCTTCCCTATCCCTCTGCCCCTTGACTAACCTTCCTGGGCAAACAGCACAGACTGTGACGTGGGAGCTGTGAAGAGGGGATGGCATCCCTGCTGTGGGTTCAGGGATTGTGGCCATGTGGGCCACCCAGTGGACACTGTCCAGATAACATGAAAAGAGGCCGTCCACAGCGGCTCAGCTCTCTGCCCCTCATCTTTGGGCCCCACCTCACATGCATAAAGAGGCTTAAATTCTAGGGTTTTTTCCTTCAGTTCAAGATGAGGTTTGTCAGTGAGGTCACAGACGCCCAGCAAGAGGGTTAGCGGGGTTGCTTATCCCCCAACTTGGAACCCACCACCCCGAGCTGCCTGCAGAGGACCTATACTTTCTAATACTATGACCCAATACTAGAGAGCCAGAGACACCGTAAATAACCGTTATCTTATATTTATGTATTTAAAAGATGGTTCATAAATGTATTTAGTGCTTACCATGTAAGACAATTTTTACCCCCATCTCCAAAACGAAGTAGAACTGATATTCAGCTCACAGAAGGCTGTTAAAGGCACCAGAGAAATACGTGATGCAGTGGCTTAAAGAGACTGCCAGGAAGAGTGGGGAAAGTTTCTACACTGAAGTCAATTTGGGAAATGTCATACAGATCAGCCACCCAATAGCAAGGCCTCTAGGTAAGTAGGGAGAACACCTCTGGTCCTGTTCAGGTGTTTCGTCTGTCAAGGTGCTTCTCCTGGCCAGCTGTGTCTGCACAGTTCAACACGACTTGAGTTGGCCATCTCAAAACAGCTATAGCCTCAGTTGCTGTGAGGGCACCTCATGGATGACAGAGGCAAGAAAGGCTTGAGGGAGAGAGGGTGAGGCAGGGGGAGCTTGGAGCCTTCATTCTCTAACCCTAAGAGCTGTGGACACAGAGCCGAGTCCAACCTGGCTGCTGCCCGGGCAGGCAAGGAGAGGGCACCGAACGCACTCCCCCCAGAGCCTTGCACTGCCACCAGTTGAGGCCTGTGCCCCTCTCTTCCCTGCACACCATAGCCTCTCTTCTTGAGTGCCCTACCCAAACTACTGCCTAGGAAACAAACATTTGGTAACGTCTTCAGAAAGGCTGCTTGCAAGGAAGGCAACTTCTCTACGCTGTCAAACAGCTTCCTTAGTTGAAGCATCTAATTCTGGCCCCGTCCCTACTGCCCCCAGTCGGGGCTTCCAGAAGCAGTGTGGGCAAGTGCTGCTGGCCTTCTGCAGAATGATGAGCACTGGTCAGTCCTGTACTGATAAAGGCTGTGTGTCCCCCATGTCTTGGTTTCTCAAACAGCAGGTAACAACCTCATCTTTCCAAAGAGATAGCTGTGCCTGACCTATTTTTCAGGGCTCTTCTGGACAGCAGCCTGCTTCCAGCACAGAGAAGGGCCTGGCCTCAGGGGGAGCCCTGGAGCCCACCATGTGCCTCCTGCTCCATCTTGGGAGCAGCAGGGCCCTGTCGGCACTCAGTAGAGCCTGGGATTGGTGACTGAAGAGGGAGGTGGAGGCTTTAGGCAGCAGCGCTGAAAGAGGTGGCAACAGATGACCTGCATGGGAACTGGGGCCTGCAGAGACATCACAGAGCGGGGGAAGTATCTTCAGCTCTCGAATTCTGGAAGCTGTCAGGGGAAGGGAGTCCCACAGCCAAACTGCATGGTGGGTGGGCCACTGGGTCTGCTTCCAGTGTGTGGCGGGGCCCACAGAGAGCTGAGTTTTCCTGTTGGATTTCCCACACCCGGCCTGCCTGTGGCTGGCCAAGAAGGCATTGTTGAGCCTCATGAGATCACAAAGGTAGCTGTGCAGGCCCCGCCCACTTCCTATAAGCCTGGTTCTGGCTGTCCCTGTGCCAAGCCTCCAAGTGCCCTGAGAGCTACCGGCCGGGGTCAGGGGGCTATGGGAGCTCAGGGCAGGCACCTCCCATGCTCCCAGAGGAGCCACCAGGACATGAAGGTCATAGGCCTCTCCTCTCCTCCTCTTCCTGTTTGACCTAAGTGCCGCCAGGCCGACAGCCTCAAGGATTCCATCTGAGAAGATGCAGGCTGGGTGTGTGGGAAGCAGTAGAGGGGCTGGTGTGTGCACATATGTGCACAGCTCAGGACAGAGGCTCCCTGGACTTGGGGTGGGGAGCGCCAGGGCCCCAACTCTAACCCTCGTTCTGCTCCTCTTGACCTCTGCTCTCTGGACCAAAAATGGAGGACTCATTCTAGACTAGGAGTTCTTACGGTCTAGGAGCCCCCTTAAGTTAAATGTTTATATGTAAAGGCCATTTTTCTGAGAGGCCATAGCTTTCATCAGTGTGCCAAAAAGCATGAGATCGTCTGCTCTAAAAGCCTCTGCCCCAGCGCTGCCTAGTTTCAGAGCCCCCAGTGGCCTCACACTGGGTTTTGGAGCAGGCAGAGAAGCTGCAGTGGGGCCACCAGCCAGTCCTTAGAGTCCTGGGTTAAGGCCTCTTCTCCAGGAGGCCCTTTTTAAAGGGTTTCTCTGTTGCCTGGAGGCAGGAGTGACCTTCAGTAGGCAGGAAACCCTGAGGGTACCTAGGAGGCCCCTAGCCAGTGGGTTGGGGAAGGAAGACAGGACCCCTGGGGCCACTGAAATCGTGGAGCTCTCAAGAGACCTGAGTTCCGGTCCCTTCTGCCACTCTTTGGGCAGATCCCCTGTCTTCCCACAGGCCCTGTGTCTTGCTCAGTCCATCTGACTCCGCTTTCCCATCCTAGGCCTCAGGTGGGTGGCAGGCCCTTTCCTGCTTGCCCTCTGCCCTCCCTCTCTCTGGCCCTGCCCAGCCTCTGCCAATCTGTGTGCCTCCCAGGAGCCGGGACACTCCCTGAGTCCTCTGGGAGCCCTTAAGCCACACTGAAAACACAGACCCTGGGAGAAGCAGCCAGCAGTGAGGAATCCTGGAACCCCTTCCCAGGGAGAGCCTTCCCATGACCCCCATGAAGAGATCGGTGCAAACACAGGTGTCAGAGCCCTTCACGGAGTCCTGGGGTGAGGAGTCCCTGCCGGAGCTCCCCACAGAGCAGTCCCTGACTGAGTACTCTGACCTCGAGGAGGCTCCCTCGGCGCACACTCTCTATGTGGGCCATCTGAACCCCCACTTCTCAGTGCCGGTGCTCGCCTGCCTGCTGCGAGACACCCTGGAGCGGCTGGAGATGCCGGTGGCGCGGGAGCACATCGAGGTGGTGAGGCGGCCGCGGAAGGCCTATGCGCTGGTGCAGGTGACTGTCCGAAGGGACACCCTCGCCTCCCTCCCCTGGCGCCTGCAGACGGCCCTGGAGGAGCACCTAATCCTCAAGGAGCTGGCAGCCCGTGGGAAGGAGCTGCTATTGAGTGAGGCCCAAGGGCCCTTCAGCCACAGAGAGGTAAGTGGGACTTTTCCGAAGCAAGCTCCAAAGCCTCACCCCAAGGGAGAGACTCTGGGTGGGAGTGGCCTGCAGAGTGGGGACGGAGGGGTGTCTCTGGGGAAGCAGGCACAAATCTGCAAACTTGGGGGCTGCTACTCAAATGACCATGGCTTGTCACTGGTACTGCCAGCTTTCTCTGGGAAAGACACTGAGTTTGCCTCAAGCCTGATGCTTGTGTAGGAAAGGCCACGAGGGGGCCTCCTCCTTGGGTCCTTTTATATTCCAGCCTCTGGGCCTGGGAGACCCTAGAAGACACAGGGGCCCTGATTTTCCCTTTGGCCCAACTCATTTGTTCAATTAACAATCATGAACACCCCCTCTGTGCCAGGAGTTAAGGCAGGGATGAGAGGCCCAGCCAGGCCCCCACGGAGCCCTGCATCTGTGGCCAGAGCCGGATAGCCACCCACAGAGCTGCAAGGTGGCTGCGCTCAGAGCTGTGAGAGGACACAGGAAGGTTTGCCCTGCTCTCTAGGGACAGATTCACAGGGGAAGTGAAATCCAGGCTGGGACTTAGGGCGTTGGACAGGAACTTGTGGGGGAGGACATTCCAGGCCAGGGACACAGAATATGCAGAGGAACCTGGGGGCTTAGAGGGACTGTGGTGTCTGCAGAAGGGCAAACCATTTGGTGGCCCTGGAGCTCCCACTAAAGGCTGCAGGGGGTGCTAAGGAAGGAAGTTGGGCCAGAAGGTAGGGTAGGGGCCAGGTCACCAAGACTATCCAAGGCAAGGCTGAACCGCTGGCTTTACTGGGTGGGACATGGGACGTTAGGGTAGGTCACTCCACGAGACAGGTGATTTTGGTTTCTTTTTCTTTTGGTGTGAAAATGATGGTGTTTAAACTGTTGCAGAACTAAAAGGCTCTCTGGCTTACATTTCAACTCAATTTCACATTTGTATGACGTTTATCCTGTTTCTTTTTTTTTTTTTTTTTTTTTGAGACGGAGTCTCGCTCTACCCAGGCTGGAGTGCAGTGGCCGGATCTCAGCTCACTGCAAGCTCCGCCTCCTGGGTTCACGCCATTCTCCTGCCTCAGCCTCCCGAGTAGCTGGGACTACAGGCGCCTGCCACCTCGCCCAGCTAGTTTTTTTGTATTTTTTAATAGAGACGGGGTTTCACCGTGTTCCCCCAGGATGGTCTCGATCTCCTGACCTCGTGATCCACCCGTCTCGGCCTCCCAAAGTGCTGGGATTACAGGCTTGAGCCACCGTATCCTGTTTCTAAGACTGATCAATTCAACTTCTCTGGGGAGCTGCAGGGCTGGTAGGGAGGTGCCCTGGTCTCCTCACCCCAGCCCACGCTCATGAAAGGATTGTGAGGAGTAACAATCTGCCTTGAAGTTAGCGTCACTAAGGAGGGTTGACAGGAAAGGGTGAGCCTGGAAGCAGGGAGGTCAGAGAGGGGCTGGCTGGGGAGGCCCAGACTAGGAAGCGGCCCCGAGGAGGCTCACACCGAGCCCTCGAGCAGAGCCCAAACCACGAAAGGTGATTCCGGAGGCGCAGAAGGAAGTGGAGATTAGGGTGGACTTGTCAATAGCCCAGAAAGTAGTGGGCAAAGGTTTGAAATCAGGAAGTGGGTGGGTACCTGGGAGTCCCTCTCCATTCAGGGTCCTGCAGCTCTGTCACAGGGTGCTGAGATACCTGCTGGAATGATCTGGCTCTGGGCCTCAGGGGCATGTCTGCAACCCAAGTAAGAAAAAATGGGCCCACACGTGTCCCAGCACCCAGCCCTGGGAAGCAGAAATCTCTTCTTCCTCACCAGGCATCCCACAGCTCACCTGGGAAGGGCCCAGCTCGGCAGGGAAAGGAGCGCTGACAGGAACCCTCAATCCAGCAGGGTTTCCTGCCTCGGCTGCAAGAGGGTGGGCAGAACCAGGCCTCTCAGCCTGGTGAGGGGCATCAGGATGCCCATGAGAGTCAGGCCGCAGCAGGGGCCGGATGGGGGGTTCTTGCAGTCCTTCTCAAGGTCAGGACTCCCATTTTCTGGCTTGACCCTTACACTCATACACTCATTCTTGACTCCCACCCTAGGAGGAGGAGGAGGACAGTGGCCCGAGCCCCGGCCCCAGCCCAGGCTCTGGTGTCCCGCTGCCCACCTGGCCTACACACACGCTGCCTGATAGGCCCCAGGCCTGGCAACTGCAGAGCTGCCAGGGCCGGCCCAGTGGCGTGTGCTCCGACAGTGCCATTGTGCACCACGAGATCGTGGGCAAGGACCAGCTTTTCCAGGGTGCCTTCCTGGGCAGCGAGACCCGCAACATGGAGTTCAAGCGGGGCAGCGGCGAGTACCTGAGCCTGGCCTTCAAGCACCACGTGCGGCGCTATGTGTGCGCCTTCCTCAACAGCGAGGGCGGCAGCCTGCTCGTGGGAGTGGAGGACAGCGGCCTGGTGCGGGGCATCCGCTGCAGCCACCGTGACGAGGACCGCGCACGCCTGCTGGTGGACTCCATCCTGCAGGGCTTCAAGCCTCAGGTCTTTCCCGATGCCTACACTCTGACCTTCGTCCCTGTGATCAGCACCTCGGAGACCAGCGTCCCCCTCAAGGTGAGCCTGCAGGACAGAAGGGCCTCCAGGCCTGTCATCTGTCATCACTCAATAAGACAATGGCCTGCGCTCCTGCCAGACAGTGCTGGGGCAGGGACGGGACTGGGGGCCACAGGAGAAGAGGCTGGTGATGGCCCTTGTGCCAGCCCTGCTGGCCTGCCCTAAGGAATCAGTGAGCAATGCTGAGCGGCCTGGCAGGATGGGGGCTGCCGACTGTGAAGGGCGGCGCCTCCAGAGCTGCTGTTGCCCCTCCCAAGGTGATCCGCCTGACCGTGCACACCCCCAAGGCCCAGAGCCAGCCGCAACTCTACCAGACAGACCAGGGGGAGGTGTTTCTGCGGCGCGACGGGAGCATCCAGGGCCCGTTGTCCGCCAGCGCCATCCAGGAGTGGTGCAGGCAGGTACGGAAGCTGAGGCCAGTGGGTGGGGTGGGGCGAAGCTGACCCCAGGCCCCTTCAGTCACACAGAGCAGCCCAGGGCAAGCCACCATGGTTCCCTGGGCCCTGCATCACCCCGTTTAACCCAAGGGGTTGGATTAAAATCACACCACATTCTGTATTCCACGGGTAGGCAGCTGGTGGGAAGAGGCCTAGGCCCTCTCTTTTTAAAAATCTATGCAGTGGCTGGGCTCGGTGGCTCACGCCTGTAATCCCAGCACTTTGGGAGGACGAGGCGAACAGATCACAAGGTCAGGAGTTCGAGACCAGCCTGGCCAATATGATGAAACCTCGTCTGTACTGAAAATATAAAACTTAGCCGGGCATAGTGGCAGGCAACTGTAGTCCCAAATACTCAGGAGGCTGAGTCTGGAGAATCGATCGAATCCCGGAGGCAGAGATTGCAGTGAGCCGAGATTGCACCACTGCACTCCAGCGTGAGCGACAGAGCGAGACACCTCAAAAAAAAAAAAAAAGTCTATGCAGTATCCCCTTTTCAGAGGTGCCTGAAACCCCTCACCCTCTACTTGGGCAGTTAACGCACTCGATCGTGAGTGGCTGAGAGAGCAGGGAGATTAGAATGTTGAGCCATCACCAGAAAACCCCAAGGACTATACACTGCATTTTAGGAGAGGCCCTAAAGGGGTGGAGGGGGCAGGACACAGTCCCAAGGAAGAGCTTTTTCAAGAGGGAAACGGAGAATAGAGGACAAGAGGGCCAACAGTGAGGAGGGACATGGCCTGCCCAGCATGCAGGAGGCTCCCTTCCAGGGTTGGCAGCCAGCAGCTTTCAACTTTCCTGGTTGAAGGTGGCAGCAGGCCAAGGGGCCTGACTTTCCCCCTAGCTGAGAAAGCTCCCAGACTCCCGGGCTTTCCCTTCCTCAGTTCGGCCTCAGGGGGAGGGGAGGATGGACAGGCCCGAGACCAGGTGGGCTTGGCCACATGCTTTTCCCATGTCCCCTCAGAGGTGGCTGGTGGAGCTGAGCAAGCTGGAAGAGAGGGTGAAGGTGCTGACGATGGAGAAGGAGCAGCTCCAGCAGCAGCTGCAGCAGCACGGGCCTATGTCCCGCACCTGCTGTGTCCTGTGAGGGCCCTGGAGAACAGGCAGGATGGCGCGGCGCTCTCCACCTGAGACCCAGGAATTTCCTGTTTGAGCCTAAGGCCGACCCAGTAAAGCCCATGCAGGCTGCTGAGAGGCGGACAGGGGCTCCTTCAACATGACACAGGAGCCCATGTGGCTTCAACCCTGACAGCCCCCAGTCTGTGTAGCCAAGAAATTGCTCTCAGGCCTGTCCCCAAACGACCTTTCTTTTAGAAAGAACGTGGATTGTCCCTCTCCCTAAAACGCTCATTTGGCCCAGGCTGAGGCCTGTGACTCCAGCTGGCTGGACAGTGCCAGAAGGGAATCTGTCGTTCCAGGAAAGCCCCTCACAGATGGCGAGGCATATTTGGTGACTGTGGTTACAGGGCAAGAGGCCACCCTGCAGCCCCCACCCCTGACTTGCTGGAACTTGTGATTGTCAAAGCTTCGTTAATAAATTACATGCACCTGGGACAAGAATGGGTCTTTCTAGGACACTGGGTCAGCCGGTCAGATGCTGCAGGGTCATGAGTCCCAGGCCCAGCCCACTTCTGTCCAGGAGGCAGAGAATAGACCAGAAAGGCAGGGAGCCCAGCCTCACACTCCAGTCCAGCTGTGTCTTAAAGACCAGGGACCGTGCGGCAAAGTGCTATGCCTCTGTGCTTGTTTCTTCATCTATAAGACAGTGACAATGGCCGGGGGCAGGGGCATTTTGTCACCATCAGGCCAGTGCCCTGTGTCTATGCCAGCTGTGGCACAGAGCAGCACCTCACACTAAGGGTTTCAGTTCCTTTCCAAGACCCCTCTGGTCCAGTAAGACCATTAGCTTAAAACAAACAAAACCAGACTCCTCCTGCGGCTTCCTGCCTCTGGTTTCTCCTGCTGTCTCCACCAGCCGAGCCAGAGGCTGTAAAGCCAGTTTGATCACACTCATGCTGCGCCTGTGCCCATAGCCCTCTAAAATCTCCACTTCAAGAGCAAAGCCCAAACGATGGCCTGCATGGTTCTCCGCGACCTAGCCCACCCCACCTCAATGTCTTCCGCCCCTTGTGCAAGCTACTCCAGCCACGCCCACCAACTTGTTTCATTTGCACTCCTGCCTCGGGCCTCTGCGCTAGCCTGTTTCCTTCCACTCCACCTTCAAGTCCATGCTTAATTTCCCATCCATCCTATTTTAAAGACACCACCTCCCAGCATTGCCACTCCCCTGCTCACTTCCACCCTTGGTCTCCATCTATGAACTGCCACACTCTGTAGCTTGTATTTGGTGTTTACCTGCTCTGGGGGACAGGGGTTTGGGTATGGCTGGCATGTGGTAGCCACCCAATAAATACTTGCTGGTGAGACAATTAAGGATACTCCTAAATTTGGGGTCTGAGCCACCAGAAAATCACCAAACTGTGTTGAACAGGGCATTTCACAGGTGTTCCATAGAACACACGTCAGTTATCTCCTAAAACTTGAGACCCCTGGCCATATCCACAGAGCAGATACGGATGAGAACTTTGGAACCCCCAGCCCCTCCGCTCACCAGCCAAGTGACATCTCCTGGGCCATCACAACTGCTCTGAGACCTGGTTTTCCCACTTAGCAAAGAGCACACAGCCCCTGCCTTGGCTGCCATTCCTGCTGGTTCTAGGGACCAGTGTGATCACGGACACCTATACTGTGGCAGGTTCCCAGACTCCTGCTGCTCACCCCCCAAGCTGCCCCAAGGTCACCAAGGCTGCTTGAAAACTATACAAATGTGTTACTCAAGAAGGTGGAGGACTGGCATTTCTAAGCACCTTCCACAGTCCCGGTACCATTGCTAAACGCTAGCCCAGGCACCACAATCCTTGGAAATGTTTTCTGGGGGAAAACAGCAGATTTCTACAAAGGAAGGGTGAAGTCAGGCTTCAGCCCAGCTGCTCTGGACTGCTAAGAACCTGCCCAGACCCCCTGGACTGAAGGAAGTTACTGAAGGGAAGTTACGCATAGCTGTGCCTATTGTTAGGTCACATTAAGAAAGGAATGAGGAATGTGACCAGCTTTCCTCCCCACCAGGGAGAAGCCTCCGGGGACGGGTCAGTAAACACTGGGCATAGGTTGCCCTCCTGTAAATCCAGCTTCAGCCCTATCCTGTCTGCCACAGGCAGGCTGGCGGGGCTGCTTGGGCTTTGCAAGCCCTGGAGAGTCATTTGGGATCTCTTTTCTCAGAAACCTTACATCTGTGGCCAGCACTTGACAACTGATCAAAGTGATCTTAAACGTAGGGGCAGGAACATAATTACTGGGAGGCTTTTTCACGCCACCCGCACACCCAACCATTGTGGAGAGCCATGATGTCACCAATCGGCATGTTAGACCCTCAGTTTGGGGAATGTTTTTTTAAAAAAAAGGGCCAGATGCGGTGGCTCACACCTGTAATCCCAGCACTTTGGGAGGCCGAGACGAGCAGATCACGACAGGAGTTCGAGACCAGCCTGGCCAACATAGTGAAACCCCATCTCTACTAAAAATACAAAAAAATTAGACGGGCGTAGTGGCAGGCAACTGTAATCCCAGTTACTTGGGAGGCTGAAGCAAGTAGAATCACTTTAACCTGGGAGGTGGAGGTTGCAGTGAGCCAAGATCACGTCACTGAACTCCAGCCCAGGCAACAGTGTGAGACTCCATCTCAAAAAAAAAAAAAAAAAAAAAAAGACTACTGACCAGGTACAGTGGCTCATGCCTGTAATCCCTGCACTGTGGGAGGATCGCCCTGAGGCCAGGAGTTCAAGATCAGCCTAGCCAACACAGCGAGACCCTGTCTTTCTCTATATATAAAAAATTTAATTAGCTGGGCATGGTGACGTGAACCTGTAGTCCCAGCTACTTGGGAGGCTGAGGCGGGAGGATCTTAAGAGCCCAGGAGGTCTGCAGCAAGCCGTGCTTGTGCCACTGCACTCCAGCCTGGGCAACAGAGTGAGACCCTGACTCAAAAAATAAATAAAATTTAAAATGAAGAGTATCTCCTGGTACCACCAGGTGGGAGAAGAGGTTAGAATTATGCTCGATCAGCCTCATTCAAAGTACCATAACAAGCAGTTCTGCTGGTGAAGACAGTCTGGTCCGCGGCTCACTGGCTGTGTATATGGAATACCCACATCCAGTGCCTGGCACAGGAGACGACCACCTTCCTAAACCATGCTTATCCCTCCCCTTTCTCAGTCGTGAAGCAGCATAAACAGCACCCATGCACCTTTTCATCTCGCTCTACATGCTGAGAACCCGTATTTGAAGCTTTATGAAAAATTCTGGTTCCTATTAAAAAGAAAGCCTCATTTCTTAGTTTTTAAACAAATTCTCAGGTCGTCTGCTGACTCAAGGCTGCTCACCTGCAGGAGCACCCGGCACTGACAATTCAGGTGACCGCACACAGGCACACCAGCACCGTGCTCAGACGCTTCCCATCTGGCCAATGACATAAACAGAATGAGAAGCAAAGCGTGTCTCTTGTTCTGCATTATTTATTTATTTCTTAAGTTAGAGTACACATTGAGTCTGGCCAGAATATCGTAGCACATAGCTGTGCCTATTGTTAGGTCACATTAAGAAAATAACTTCATATTGCCCTTTCAACTGCAGTAACACCATCCTGGAAGAAAAACGTACCCTCGAGTCAAAGCTGTCTATATATGAGAGGGTTTTAGAGAAAGTTTCCCCAAAAGACACTGTTCTGTAAGTGACCCCTTGATGCAAGGAGTGTTTCCCAGCCCTAGCAACAGGAAGCGCAGCCACAGGCATGGGGATTTTAAAATCACGCTTCAGAGACAGACATCTTGGTGTTTCATGTGACACCAAACTGACCGTCCCTTTGGATGACGAGGACCAGCCACAGTTGGCACTGAGAATCCCCCCAACTCAGGGCAGTATAGAGATTTTGTCTCTGGTTTCATGGCTTAGTGGCAAGCAACACCCTGAGGTTCCCAGCACCAAGTGTTCAAATCCTAGCTAAAATCCTCTCTCCATGCTCAGTAAGTCCATGTGGCATACTTTATAACGGTCTAGGCATCCAGGGGAAAGCGACAGGCAACACGCTAGCATCTGCAATGACGCGAGGTAGTTGAGAAACCAGGTGACCGATGGGGCACTCTGCAGCCCCACCCACCATCAGTTCCCATCCCGATGTCTGCCGCAACTCAAGAACTGCAAGGAGAGTGTCACGTAACAGGCAGACACCACGGAGAAGCCAGTACACATGATGGGACATGCAAGTGACAAGTTTCCCAAATACCTTTCCGCATAATAAAATAATCTTAATAAAAACATAATTTAAAGAAAGTGTCCAAAGCCGAGTGTAAAGTCAGAGCTGTAAACTCTACCCAAGTCTGAAGGGTCTCCTGAAGAATCATCCCTGTTTAAAAGAAAAAAAAAAAAAAAAAAAAAAAAAAAAGAGGGAATTATATGATGTACATTAAAGTAGAAAAGTTAGAATTTCTAGTCAGTTGCCATGGGAAACGAAGCCTGTTTTTCATGGCAGAGCAGTAGAAGGAGCCTAATAGGAATAATTAGACACTACATTTATAATTCCTACAGAATCACATTTTCAAGACCTCACACATCGACTTCTACAACCACCCAATGCAAGCATTCTTTCTTCACAGCACCTCATCACAGTGTCACTACTGGGCAATTCTCCACTTGCGAGGCAGTCAGAATTCCATGTAACGGGCCAAATATCTGCCTCCTTTACTGGTAACAATTCTTGTTATACCAGCTCCTTAGACTGTGAAACAGCCTATAGCAAACCCCCTGGTCAGGGGATTCATGAGTTCATCTGTGTTCAACGCTTACCTACCACACAGGCTCTCCTCCTGACACTAACTTCTCATGCTACCCACCACCTATTTAGGCTATCCCAGGACAGGGGTCAACCAACCAAGGCAGGAGGGAAACAGCTGTGATCAGCAGATCAGACCGCCACGGACCCAGCACCAGAGACCCACTGGTGATGAACACACTGTGTGCAGGATTCAGGGAGGTCCCCCTGCCCAGGCCTTAGGGCAGGAGCGGTGGGGCCACACCCATACCCCTGGTTCTCCTTCCAGACCCCAGATTCCCAACTGACACTTTCTCATTTGATACCTCACCAGCAGAACGCGTACTTCTGCCAACACGGTCCACACAGTTACCCTAGAGGACATTTACGTTTCGTGGCAGTGCCCACAGTTACTGCACTTTATGAACCTACAAGTCTTGTCACTTAATAGGCAAACATTTGACGTCTGTTTGGCAATTGTTCCAACTTTGAAGGAATTCCAGAATAAGCAGCAATCAACAAAAACCTGTTCTCTAAGCAGTGTCAGTTTTAAAGTACTTCCTGATGAAAACCTGAGGCTCTGCAGAAATGACAAGTGTCACACTGTCGTATCTGTCTCTTCCTTCAAGATCTCCAAATTTTTGGCTACGTCAAACAATAGGGCCTAAGAATTCAGACCCTCCCCACCCCC